AGTTCTGCTCAGGCATCTGCCAGTCCTAATGGATGCTGGCTGTAGCACTAAGATTCAAATGGGTCCTGAAACCATACGTTATTCCCTCATTTGTGTATTTCAGGGGAAAGAAGGATGGGGTAGAGAATCCTGGGGATGGAGATGTGATTAGCCTCAGTAGCAAGGACAGATTGGTAGGCTCATAGCAGTGACAATCTATTTAATTAGCCTGCACGAATGCATGTCCAACTGTTAACAAATGGCATGCCTCTTCTGCCAATCACTGGCTGAATTTCAGTGACAATGAGCACTGAACTCTACAATGGTCCTTGCATTCCATAGCATCCCATAAAGATGCACTTCATCATTCATGGCACACTTCATCTTACTATGTGTTATACTTAATTGATTACATGTCCATAAGTCCTGTTTCTAAAACTAGACTACACTCCTCGGAAACAGAAGCCATAGCTTAACTTCCACATCTCTATCTTTAAATAACTCACCCAAAAGTTACATAACCACACTCTGGATCATTTCATATTCTTTGACTGCTTTAGAAGAGTCATTTTCATTGTACTCTCAGTGCTTTTTAGAGTTAATAGCAAAACTAACTCCACAATGAAAATCTTCTGTTTTATATAACTGCTTCAGAAGATAATGCTCACCTCGCCATCTGAGGCTGCTTATTTCTATCTCATTTCTGTGCCCTATTCTTGAGTATTCCAAATGGAAGAAAGATGTAACTCTTGACCCATGGATATGCTTCAGAAAGAAAGAAATCTCTCTGGCAAACAATCCTGGTCCATTTTTAGTGAATAGTACCAATCTTACAGTATTATCTTTGCTTGCCTAAGTCAAAAAAATAAAATAATAAAAAAACACAACTTGCTGTTTAGTAACCACAATCCAGTGCTCTAATAGATATTAAAAGTCCATTTTGAGTCTGATTATTTCTCACTTCTATAGTTGAAAGAAATAGAGTCAGAGACAGATGGAGACAGAGAAATGATTCCAGAGCCTACAGGAAGTCCTGTCATTTCCTGGACTAGAATCTTGGAGGCTTCCGACTATATTTTGAGTGAAAATTAAATTCTACTACTAAGGTGAACGACATGTAGAAAAAAAAAAACATTTAAACACCTGCCAAAAATGGCCCATGCAGCCCTCCATAGCTCACTGGTATCCTATCTCTTCTTTGCTTACTTAGTTCAGCCATATTTCCCACCTTTCTCTCCATTAACCATACCAGCACTTTCCTGTCCCAGCTTGACAGCCTGTTTGTTCTCCCCCATTTGTGTTTGAGGTTTGTCTCCCTGCACCCCAGGAGAGTTGTCTTATTGTCACTCTGTGGCAAGCACCTGTAATCATACCGACTCAATAAACAGTTGTTGATTGACTTACTCAGCCTAGCAGAAAAATGTGAAATTGTTTTTATAATAACACCAGGATTCACTGCTCACCTATTAATGAAACAAGAAAATCTATACAATAATGCAATGATAACATCAAGAATTGTGAATTACCTATTAGAATTGGGGGAAATTAGTAAGATGAATGAAGCAAGAAACTAAATATCTCTGAGAGTTAACTGATAGAAAAAGAAACATAGTAATTTGAAAACCAGCCAGGATAGATCATTAAAGTAGTGTCTGTGATGAAGCATCACATTTATGGCTTTTCTCTTGGGAAAAAAAAAAGCAAATTAATTTGATAGGATAAAGAAACTGCAATGAGAAGAAAACCCCATGATCCTGACATAAGAAAAATATAGAGTGCGCTTTGACCAATATGCAAATTCAGAAATCATGTCACAACAGAAATACAAGCCAAAAGAAAGAAATGTAATAAAGATATCTTTGTGATGCTCTTCTAAACTGTACCTTACCAGAGCAGGGTAAAAATTCCATCTCTCTGGAGCCTGCAAGGCCTTGATGACATATACTGCTTTTTTCAGACATGAAATTAAAATGCTTATACCAAGCCACTGCCAATGGCTCACACCTGTAATCCAAGCTACTTGGTAGTTTGAGATCTAAGGATTGTTGTTTCAAATTCAGCCTGGGTAGAAAAGTCCATGAGATTCTTATTTCCAATTAACTACCCAAAGAGCCAGAAGTAGAACTATGGTTCTAGTTGTAGAGCACCAGCTTTGAAAGATAAAGCTCACGAACAGTGCCCAGGCTCTGAGCTCAAGCCCTAGTACTAGAACAAAAATAACTATAAAATAAAATACACATATCAGCCATCCTCACAAATGAACATAGAATTGTATCCGAAAATTGATGCAGGTTTCCCCTCTGTGATTAACTGGAAATTGCAGAAGCGTTATCAGGACTTATTCCTAATGAAAATTTAAAAGCAACTAAATTTGGTTCTTAACTCTCCTGTCCTGAATGTTTCTTCTTTCTAGGAACTGTCAATTGTGATCATGTAAGACTCTTGAGTGCTTTAAGGATTAATGTAAGAGGCTGCCACGTGGACATCATGACATATGCTCATGAATGGTGTGTTTTCATTTAGGAAGATAGACATTTCCTCAGTAGATGTGGAGTAGGATCTTGAGGGCAGGATGGGAGGGGGACTCAGGATTTCTCTACTGACTGTGAAGTCTGATGGATGCGGGTAAGGCTATCCCAAAGGCTAGCTCAGAGTCCACTATAGCACAGCAAGGGCACCTGGCCTGGAGGTTTGCCTATTCTTTCTCTGATACTAGTTCTCATTGTACTGGCAGAGTGAAAAACAACACTTATAATCAAATCTGGAACTGTATTTCCACATTGCTTGGAAAATCATTTGAATAATGAAGACTCAGGAATGCATTGTCTCAATAGAATTTTCCAGGATTGGCTAGTGTTAAAGTTTTAGATCTTTATAAAATTAATAACTGGAATGATACCTTCTTTTCATTTTTATCTAGAAAAAATAGTAACTGAAGACACAATTTAGTAACTGAAAAATTTAGCAATTGAAATTTCTGTAATTCTTGGAGTATAGCCAGGTCCGTTTGTTTCCAATCTATCAATTGTCTTTGTTTTTTGGCTCGTAACAGTAGACATGAATAGCTATAACAGAGCCCATGTGTTCCTGTAAGTCTAGAACATTCACTCTGTCTTTTTATGGATAAAATTTTGTGAACTTTGCTCTGGATTAATGATTAATGTGTGCATATATGACAAAAATAATACACTGCTTTCCAAGTTACCTAATTTCTGGAGTGCTTTTTTCACAACTATTGTTCTTCAATACTGTGATTCTTTTCCATCAGTCCACAGTTCTACTAATAGCTAGTTTCATATCTTTAATGGTTTTTTTGTGTAATTTCTGTGTTCAGTTGTATATAATGTATTTGGAAAATAATCTTATGTACCTTTGCATTTAATTCTTAAGGCAGCTCTCATTTCTTTTCATAAAATTACCTTTTTCTTAGTAATTTTTGAAAGGCAAACAAAATGGAGTTACACTGGTACACCTTAAAAACACTGAAGCACATACAAGGTCCTGAGTTTTATCTCCAGCTTGCAACAAATAGAACAAACAAAAACTTTCAGGAATGATTTAACTAACTTGTCAAAGAATGGTCTAAAATCTAAGTTACTTTAAAAAAAAAAATCATCAACGTAGGAACTGCCTTCTAAACAAGATAGATAAATTAGAAAATATACTTCTATATTGCCACAGGCAAAAAGCAGGACTGCTCCTTGCTCACCTTTTCTGTCCCTTCAATTCCATAGCATTGGAAGTGACAGCTGTGACAAACCCTCACAAGACCTCCTGGTGGATGTGGATAATTTAAACTCTGATCCAGAAAGAGAAACACACTGCTCTTGGCTCTGAACCTGCCCTGTGCATTTTTTAAGCAGGTGGCTTCCATTTCCCCAGAGGGACGACCTTCCTTCCCACCTTTCAGTATCTTTAGCCTGGCTCATAGCCTCCGACTTCAGTGTGATCTATTCACGCTGTCAGCCCTGAACATTGCTCTAAGCTACTTTTACTGACAAAACTATACACGAGTTGCAGTTGCACTACTGTCTGACACTTGTAATGATGAAATTCATCCAGCTCAGAGTAAAAGCCAAAGAGGGGAAAGTCATTATTTCATATACATCTCAGTCTCTTCTCACTCCCGCAGACAAACGCAAGTCCAGGAAAATACCAAATCCTTAGCTTTCCTTCCTCCAAAATCCTCCATATATTTGTTTCCTAGTTTCACTCAGAAATAAACAATTTGCAATAAGGTCAAGTTCCAGCATCTAAGAGATCAAAGAAAAACTTTATTCTCCAGCAAATTTGAAAGTCAAAAATATCCCAGAATGACATTCCTAGGCAAAAGTATTTTTAAAGTCACAATAACCTTGTTTGTTTTTTCACTGATTTTTAACAAACACATCCTACAGATGAATGATTAAAATCAGAGAATCAACTTAAACATTTGATTGCCCGACTTTTAAGTGTTTTCCAAACCATTCTCATAGCCAGAATGGTAATTTCAAGACTTTCTCACTGAAGTGAATCAAATATTAAAAGTGAAACGTTTGTTCGAGGAGACAACTGAGATTCTAAGTTAACATATGCTTCCAAAATGCTCTTTGATGTGGTGAAAGATGAAATGTATGCAGAAAAATATGTACACACACAAATATATATATATACACATACATGCAGGGGAAAAGGAGCAGTCTGGATGTAAGACTTTCTTGTAATACTTTTGAAAGTTACTCTGAGATATAAGGATGAAGAGGATCAACGTCAGAGAAAACTCCAAGTGAAAGGGAACGTGCGTCACTGCTCAGAGAAAAACTAAGAAGAAACCAACATTTTAAAGAAAACAGAGAGCTGCATGTGGCAGGAGGGGGAACAGCAGGAGGCCACTGCACCCCAGGCCGGTCAGGTGGTTTGATCACATTGGCCTTCTTCCATGAGCTTCCTTCCAGGAAGTGGAGAGATTTGACCAATGAGAGCCACTGTTGGTTCTGAGTCCACCATCCTTCCTGCTTCCGTGTTTCTGGCCTAAAACTTACCTGTACCCCAGGTTCTGTGGCGTCCTCGCTGTGATAGCCATAGTAGTCTGGAGTTTTATCCAGTTCCTGCATGTTTCCTTGAGCTCTAACACTTTTATCCGCATGGCAAGATGAGCAGAGGGCTGCATTTCCCATCTCAGCTTTTACAGATCCTGGTGTGCTTGGGCCCGGCCTTGCCCTCTGCACTTAGTCCTGGGTTCCCAGAGGTGACACTCACATGGACAATCCATCAAGAGGATCCTGGGCCCCTCTGCTCGGTGCCCCCTCACCAGTCCTCTCCACGTGCTGGCCGGTGTCACAGAGAACTCAAAACCCCAGCAACTGCGGTGCTGCATTCAGTGACCATTTCCAGTTCAGGCACTGCCAGTCTATTTTTACACCTACCAGGCCAGCTATGCATGTCAATGGAGCGAGGGGGGGTGAGCAGACAGGGAGTAGGGGAGGGGTTGGTGGTGTTTTGTTTTTCACCATGCAAGCAGGCTGCCTCACACATGGACTTCAGTTCCCGCTGTGTTAGAATGTCTCCACATATGAGAATGTTTGCATTACTCAATAAATTCCTTTGAGTCCTTTGACTTTTTTCCCCCCCTCTCTGCCTCTCTACTTGTACTGAATACTAAATCTGTTCATCATCTTGCTGTATTAGCAAAAATTTATTTGGTCATTGCTTTACCCAGTGGGTTAAATACACAACCTTTTTTTTTTTTTTCATTATCATTTACAGTAAACAATGAGCCATCCTTTTAACATTTAACGGTCACTGGAAGGTTATCAATCAGACTGGTTCAACTGAACCTTAGAGTGGAGTTTTAGGTTTTCTAAGGAAATGATACCCAATTTCTCATTATGCATCACTGTACTCCTTACACAGAAACCATTTTGATTCATTTATATCTTTATAAGTTTTTAATATGTGAAGATATTGTCTGTAACTTTATTTAAATATAATGAAGCCAGGTGCTGGTGGCTCATGCTTGTAATCCTAGCTACTATGGAAGTTGAGATGCGAGAATCACCGCTCAAAGCCAGCCCAGGCAGGAAATTCCATAAGACTCATATCTCCAATTAACCACCAGAAAACTAAAAGGGGAGCTGTGGCTCAAAGTGGTAGAGCCTTAGCCTTGAACAAAAGAGCTCATAGACAGAGCCCAGGCCCTGAGTTCAAGACCTACAATCAGAGAAAGAAAAGAAAGAAAGAAGAAAAAAGGAAGGAAGGGAGGGAGGGAGGGAGGGAGAGGGAGGGAAGAAAGGAAAGAAAGAAGAAGAAAATAAAATGAGAAAAGACTCTGATTTGTCCAACTAGGTGGGCTTTAATTGCAGTCCTCAATTCTCAGCCTCCTGAATAGCTAGGAAAGTATATATGTATTACATATATATGCATAATTGTCTAATCTAGGATTAACACACAACATACATATACCTATACGCATATATGTGTGGTATGTGTGTGTGTGTACACATACATATGTATATTCATTCCAGATTAGACAAATGTCCCTAGGGACTGAGAATTCTGCTTTGCTTTAACAGCATGACTTGTTCCTTGGCATCTTTCTGTCTCATTAATATGTTAGCTATTCTTCCACCAGGCCTTTGCTTTTGCTTTTTCTTCAGCCAAGCATGTGTTCCCCTCCCCCACCAGTTTGTGTCACGGTCATATTCCCTCTCCAAGATCATCTTACAATTCACTTTTCCCTGAAAGTTTTCATCACACCTACTTTAGTCCTTTATTTTTATTATTTTATTCCAGTATCTTTTTCAATAAGGTTGAGATTATTACCAACTCTTATTCTGTGTGTGTGTGTGTGTGTGTGTGTGTGTGTGTGTACTGGTATTGGGGCTTGAATTCAGGACCTTGCAATGTTACACAGCTTTTTCTCTCAAAGCTGATGATATATCTCCTGACCCACACCTCCACTTCTGTCTTTTTGTGGGCTAAATAAGAGTCTCATAGACTTTTATGCTCAGACTGGCTTTGAACCACAGTCCTTAGATCTCTGCCTTTTCAGTAGCTAGGAATGCAGTCATGAGCCACCAGTGCCCAGCCTTTTTATATGATAGTCCTGTTATCTTTTATGAGCCATTCATATGCATCGATATGTATCAGTGGTAAATGTTTGTGATGTAAAAGAATAATATGCAGACAGAAAAAAATACATATTATCAATATTTAACTGGACTAAGCTTTTGTCAACTTTTCACTTATAAGTGATCAATCCTGAAGATATCCATAACTGTGAAAACAGAATTTCCAATGAATAACTTTCTATTTGTCATCACTACCAACTTTGCTAAAAGCACTGATAACTTCCTAATTAAAAACGGAAGTACGAGGGATCTGCAGTAGTGGCCACTACTTCAGAAATGAAAGCATTCCTACTTTTCTGTCTCCTAGTGGGGAACCAACAGTTAAGAATCAGATGAGTTTGTCACAAAAGCTTGGGCGATGTTATTATATACATAACTTTGTGTCAGGTCAAAATCCACGTGAAAACAATGGTATGCAGCACTCATGTCCTAAAAATATGCCTGATGGTTGGGATTTCTGGCTCATCTGACAAGGGATATGCTTTCCGACAGGCTAGAACAATGTCACCATTGTTCTAGAAAGAAATGCTTCAAAGGCAATAGGGCGAATTACTCAGAAAGCAAATATTTGCATGTTACAGTAGGATCTGTGAGCCAGATACACGACTTAGAAAGTGAAATTCAAAGTCCCTGTGATGTGATATATTGGCAGTATTGTTTTAAATTTCTACATATCTTACTTACTGCTGTTATTCCAGCAGTAGGATTGTTTCAAATCCACCACTAGAGGAAAGCAATTCAGGCTAAGAACAAAAGCTGGCTTCTCAGTTGTCTTCTTTAGACCGTTACTGCTCAGGTGCCTAAAATCAGCCAAGCTGAAAAACTGCCAATGCTACTTTAAATTTCACTTTGTAAGTACAAATCGGTGATCACAGAATTACCAAGAAATTAATACCTCCGAGGAATAACTGTCTTGACTCTAAAAGTTAACCTAAAAAGTTACAGCAAGGTTATTTTTTTTCCTCTTCTCTTTCTTTTTCCAGTACTTGGACTTGAACTCATGACCTAGGCACTGTCCTCAGCTTTCTTCACTCAAGTCTGCTGCCCTATCACTTGAACCACACCTCCCCTGTTTTTCTTTTCTAGTTAATTGGAGATCAGAGTCTCATAGACTTTTTCTCTGCCTGGCTAGCTTTGAACCTCTATCCTCAGACGTTAGCCTTCAGAATAGCTAGAATTACAGGCATGAGCCACTGGTGCTTGCTAGAGCAAAGCTCTTCAAGTGGGGTTTTGCGAAGATCTCTTAAAGCATGACTAATCCAGGATTCAGCTCTACCACTAAATTATCTCTGTGAACTTGTACGATGCTGAGCAAATCAGGGCTTCTTCAATTTTGAGATAAAAGAGTTAGATTAGATGTTTGCCAGATCCCTTCCTGCCTGAAGTTTTTGTCTTCTAAGACAGAAAACCTGTTCACATTTAAACATCTACTCAACATGCAGTGGGTGTTGACGCTGGCCATGTATTTAGACCATGTGAATAAGAGAAAAAAAAAGCAGAAGAATGCTGACTCTGTTGTGTCACACTCTCTAGTTCTACGGGACTCTGGGCCAGTTCAGTTGTTTCCCTCACGAGGAGGATGAAAGAACAATGTGGAAGAGGCCAGCATCTGTGTGGTACCCGGAAGCTCATGCCCACAGTGAGGACCCTTTTGCTCTGCCCCATCCTTTCCTAAATCTGAGCCTCACGGATAACCTGGAGACATTCTGGAAACCATACTCTACATACTTTCTACATCTCACCATTTGAAAGTAACTTCTACATGTGAAATAGTCTTACTCTCTACACAGCTGGCTTTGCCAGACAGCTTTATAGGACTTGGTAAGACAAATCTTTGTAAATCTACTCTGTAAGCTAACAGGGGTCTTATTCTTCCTTGAAGGTTCTGATTGGCTCATTTGTAAAGAGTAAATGCTATCATCCTTAGAATACTGAAACCAAATAGATTGTATGCAAGTCTCTGTTGTTTGTTTGTCTGGGTTCCAGTACTGGGGCTTGAACTCGGGACCTGATGACTATCGTAACTTAGCTTTTTAGCTCAAGAGAGACACTTTACCACAGCTCCACTTCTGGCTTTTGATGATTAATTAGACATAAGGGTCTGTCAGACTTTTCTACCTGAGCTGGCTTCCAACGTCGATCCTCAGATCTCAGCCTTGGGTAGCCAGGATTCCAGGCATGAGCTACCCATAGCCAGCTTGTAAGTCTTTTAAGGGGCAAAATAGAGTGAAACCCACTGAGAATCATAGAATTTGATGTTTTATCTTTCTCCTCCAAGTTATAAGGATATAGTATCATTCAAATAAAATACTAATATAGTTCTAGTAATGATATTCACCTCATCTAAGCTATCATGTAAAAAATGACAGTCTTCACATGAGACTGGTTAACTTTTCATAATTTATCATTAATGGAAAAGTTTTATTCCACTTTTCTTTAAAAAAATCTGCTTAGGTTATAATCTCACTATATATTAATTACAATGAAAGCATAGTTCTAGACTGACTTGTTTTATTCAAGTGCCCTTAACTGATTAAACTGATTTTGTGTACAAAATTCTCAATACCACATAATCACATAAAACTGAGGACAAGTTCTTCTAACTTTAAGGATCACTGACCTATGAAAATAAAACTAGAACAGTTTGTGCATTAACCCACATCGCATGCTATTTTCTCCCACGTTGGTGCCTGTTCAATATAGTTTACTTGGCTAAAAGTTAAATACATAATGACTTTCCCCAATTGGATCTGTTATGTAATTGATCGACTGAGGGAAAAATGCATAATTTATTGATCTAGACTGCAGTCCCTACACTAACATGTGGCTTAACTTTTCTAATTGAGGCCAGAGTAAATGACTTTTTACTGTTTATACTCTACACAAATTAATCAAAGAGAATATTGTCAAGCAATTCATGGGCCCACAAATATCAATTAACCAATCTAATCTTATATTCCTTGCAGCTATTTTTTTTTCACTCCACATTGCTGCCTCTTGACTTCTGGAATATCAAGAACACATTCTTTAATAGACAAGCACTAAGA